CACTAGCAGGCATGGAGAACGCTGGAAGATAGTTTCAGGATTTGCGTACCAAATCAAAGGAACTTTTCAGTACTGCCTGGAGGACAATGATTATAGAAGTGCTTGTTTTGGATAGCCAGGCATCGCGCCTGGAACTGTGCTCCTGTGGTGGAGTGGACGCGCGACCCGGCCGGGTTGAGCAGCCTCTCGGTTCCGAGATGCTTGCTGCTCCGCCAAGCCCAGGTTCTCTGGTGCCAGGCCCGGCGATGCGCGGGGACAGGGTGGGGGTGGGGATGGGGGTGGTCGGTTGTAGTGTCGGCGGTCACACTGGCCTAGAGCCTCCCCCAACCCTGGCTCTACACCTGACCCCTCGGCCTTGAGGCCTGGAGAGCACTCAATGGCCGCTCTCAGCTCGGGAGGCAGGACGCTGGAGAAGTTCACCAAACCCCAAGGCCCATCTCCTTGACAACCACCAATAAGAGCTCCTGTTTTCTCCTGCTCTCCAGACTCAAAGACCATACTTTTCTTTTTGTCCACTCTGCCTGTGCAGTGTGCGCCCAGCGATTCCCTTTCGCGCCGGCTCCCTGCCCCCAACACACAGTCTGCAGCTACCTCCAAGGCCCGGGAAGGCTAAATCCATGTTTCTCATCTCCTGCTGCCAGACAGATTTCCCGTGGGCTGTGGCACTGGGCTGGAGGCAAGGGATCCATGCCCACATTGTGCAGAACGGACCAACCAGGGAGGAAGTGGGGCCCTGGTCTCTATTGTGTCCCAGTCTCCTACCCTGCCATTGCATGCATTTTCTTTCCCTGGTTGTTCCTGGCCATGTAGTTTAGTTTGGGAGACCTAGTTACTATGCCTATTCTCTCAGCTATACTGCTTTTGGATATTTTTTCTCCCTGTGCATGAGACATCAGCATATCCAATCTATTTGTGAACAGTGTTTTCAAAGGGGCTTCTTAGCACTATGTTTTCCCATGTGTCTTCCTCAGGGGCTTCCATCCCCACTCAGGTACCCTTAAACACAAGAGCAACCTTGAGACCTTTCCGGTTCTATATTTCAATATTAAGGTGGGCTGGGGGCTGGGGATGGATTGGGACTCCCTACAGTCCCTAGAGACTCTTTCATTAATATGAAAATTTTATCTTCAGTGTGCCCCTAACCTTGAAGGTCAAGTTTGTTGATAACCTAATGTCTCTCAAGTGTGCAAAGAAAAGTGGCTCCCTCTAGGAGCCCATGGTGCGTGTGGCTGAGCCAAAGGACAGTGGAGGAGATGGAGAGGGAGAGGGAGAAGATGTGTCTAATTCCCTGACCAAGGAGATGGCTTAGGCGGCAGCAAAAGATGCTTGCTTCCCAGAGCAGAAGTAAGACATGGCGGAGGCTGGTGTGACTGTGCTAGGGTGGATTGTAAAAATGAGGTCAGCTTCCTAACATCAGGATTCCAGCAAAGGATGTCTTGGCACCCCTCCATATTGAGCTGAGAATGTGGAGGCCACTGCTTTGGGGAGCAGACTGGGTTCCTTCATACCCAAGCTACCTACCTGTGTGTGCGCTGCATGTCAATCAGTGCACCTGTGCACTATTTAGACCAACCACAAGTAAGTCTGACTGGCAGACAACTTGCCTTTTGCACCCTGAGCCCATTGTCACTCCTCCAAGACAGCCTTCATCCCCTCCTGCCCACACCCCAGTCCCTGCCCCATAAGTTCCATGCAAGACTTTCAGACTCAGAAAATGAATGTTCCCCACTCTCACCCTCAGTTCCTCTCTGTCTCTACCCAAGATGGGACCTGAAGGTCTTGTCTGTGAACATAATCCCCAAAGGGAAATGAAGCAATTATCATCAAACAAATTTGTGCATGAATGAATGAATGAATGAATGAATGAGCGAGTGAGTGAGTGAGCAAATGAGTGAATAAATGAACAAATGATCACAGAAACAGAACAGCTGTGAACTTCTATTGCTCTGTTGAGGTGACTTTGGCTGTGCCGGGTCCTTAAGAATGAAGCCGGTTATTGTCTCTCCCCTGAACAACCCCACTTCCTGTCCCCTGTGGGGAGGCTAGTCTGGTCAGCAGAACCCCAAATCTTGAGTGTCCAGAGCAAACGACCTGAGACTTCGGGCGCTTTGGCTCCCCCTGGTGACGGTTCACTAAGGTGTTTGCCGGCAAGGAGGCAAGAGGAATTAGCGAGTTCCCCTCTGCCTTCTAGGTTTGTCCTCTGTGAGCAGACCTTGCCCCTCCACGACAGAAAAGTTCTGGCCTCTCCTCAGTAACAGAGGGCTATGCTGGTGTCTTCTGAAGAGGAATAAATGAGACACCGAACCTGAAGTCCTCAGAACCATGGCATGTAGGGGTCTTTGTGCTCCTGTCAGGGACATTATAATTACCCCCGTTGATTCAATAGTAGCAATAGTCTCTAGGTTATAAATGCTTTCCTTTGGGACATTTTTAATCAGGAAGGGTTCCCTGGGTTAGCTGTGAGAGTGCTTTGAGATACAAAGTCTCTGAAACTGTAAAATGCCAACATACAGATGTCATATCTCTGTGTGGATGAAATTTGGGGCTTTGGCCCTTTTTTTTCTAAATAAATAAATAAATAAATAAATAAGAAGAATGAAATGAAAAGAAAATTGCCACTTCCTCCCTTGGCTGTCTGTGCCCCTTTGTTCTTCCATGCTGGCCTTTATGCGGTTCCTTGTGCAATCCTGGGCCACACAGGTTCTTTCTTGGACTGGGCTGGGTTGTCATATGGGGTCTTGGTCTCCAGGAACCAGGACTCTGAAATGACCTGGAGTTGTGGCCCAGTGCCTTCTTCCCCTCTCATTAGTGAATCCCACCATCTAGTCCCATGACACAGAAATTGCTGCCATCCCCAGTGAACACCAGAGAAAATGGGTCTGAGGTTGCCTGTCCAGGATCACAGAGCTAGCAAATGCCTGAGGTGGAATTTGAACCTGGGTCTGTACAGCATGCTCATATAACAGAGGGATCAAAGGGTAGAGGAGTGGGGCTGGAGAGATGGCTCAGAGCTTAAGAGCACTGGCTTTTCTTCCAGAGGTTCCTAGTTCAATTCCTGGGGTGAACACTATTCACTCACTGTAAGGCTTTGGAGTTTTCTAGTTTCGTTCCCTATTGAAAAGAGTGATTTCTATATGGTACCTAAATCATAGCAATGTACAACCTACCTTACTGATTTTTGTCTTACCCAGTTTTACTATCTGTCACTTCTTCCCCCAAGCTGTCGGAATATTTGGAACCATCTCCACCACTCTAGGAGGCAGAGGAAACAGGATGATACCAGAAAGGCTTCTCAGAGATGTCGAAGTGCAGCAGGGGCTCGTCATGTCACTTCATGGGGTGAGGGATCGGGGCACAGTGCCTTTGTGGGGTGCTCATGACCATGACTATGGCTGCAGGTTCACAGATGGATGGACATGAGGTCTGGGAAGCTGTGAACACAATCTGGAGACAGTCCAGCCTGGACTCATCTGACACCTGTGGAAACTAAGATCCAGTTTCACTCAGTTCATTGTTCCTTGGTCATGTCAACCTATTGCTATATTAAAATATCAGACTCCATTCAGGGACCATCACACACACTCACACTCACACTCGCACTCATGCATACCAGTCAAGGTTGCACCCATGGCCTCTCCTCTCCCTTCTCTGGTCATTGGCTTTCTGGAGCGACACCACATTTCTTTTCTTTCTTTCTTCCTTCCTTTCTTTTTTTTTAGACAGTGTTTCTTTGTGTAGCTCTGGCTGTCCTGAAATTCACTTTGTAGACTAGGCAGCACTCAAACTTGCTGAGAGCTGCCTGCCTCCGCTTCCCAAGTGCTGGGATTAAAGGCAAGCTCCATCACTGCCTGGTGCGACACCAGTTTTCAAGGCCAGGCATAAACATTCCTGACTTCCTGAGATGGCCCTGGGCATCCCTGTCCTCAATTCCTGTTTTTCCGTGCCATGTTGCCTCTTTTCTGAGCCATAGCTTCTCTCACTGTGCCTTCCCTATTCCCAGCCCTGTCTTCTGAGCCCAGGTCCCTTACTGGGTTCCCCCCCCCATGCACTATGCCAGATGCTATGCACTTAGACTCACATTAGTAATCACATCTTCCCTCCAGCTTGTCAGACACATTGTCACCTAAGGTCACTTTCAGGCCTTTGCCTCAAGCCTCCCAGGCCAACAAGTGACTGTCTGGGTCATTGGGTAAGCAATTAGTCAAAGGCACGTGACTAATTCGCAACTGTCAGCCTCTTATAAGTGGACCTATGGGCATGGCTTCTTTCCTGAGTGGACAGGAGCTGCCCATCTCAGAGAGGAGGGATCAGCAGTCAGTGAGAAGCAGAGGATGATATGGGAGGGAGGATGATCAGGGAGAGAGAGAGGAAGGAGAGAATGAGAGAGACAGAGAGGGGGGTAGATATTAGGGTCTTGGTCACATCATTTCTTTTGCTCTTAAAGAAGCTACATTTGTTTCTGTCACTTGTAGCTAAGACCACCCTGCTCAGAGTAGGAGACCTATCCATAA